GGGAGCTGGTCATTATGTTGGTTCCAAATAAACCCGTGAAGTGATGAATAGCTCCCAGTTGGCTTGTTAGCTCAGTTGGTTGAGCAATGCACCGGTATCGCAGAGGTCATGGGTTCAAGTAGTGTTTATCACTGCGAGGATCGCTTTCATTCACGTCTTTATCCGCAGTTCAAATATATGACTTTCATATATTAACATTTAGTGGACAAATTCTCCGTGCTGTGCAGCCTATAATATCGCTCGGTTGTCGACACTTTGAACGCTTCTGATCAGATTGCCGGGCACGGACCAAAAGCCCGGCGGTCAGAATTTTTCAAAGTGCCACTAAATGGTTCCATTCTCTGTTCTCCATTGATCAAAATGTTAGATAAAAGTAGTACAGAATACTTGACGATAAGATTTTTAGAGTGGTCGTCTGTAAAAATCGAGCAGAGGTGTTGAAAAGAAAAAAGTCTCCATGAACGCAAGTATGAACCAATTGTTTTAAAACAACGTAAACGCAGTTGTTTATATATTGTTTTCTTGCAATTTAAAAAGTTTGGGAAAAGACGGCGCTCCATAAATGTGTTGTAAAATATTTCCACGCAAAAACTCATGACGAGCTTTGAACACCAAAAGAATTCGGTCCCCCACCATCTACCCGAGGCGTTAACTCCTGTCAGATATACTTATGGCTTTATTGACTTTTGTTGGATAAAATCAATTAACACGTTTAATATACAAAATATTAATTAGCACGTTTCATTAAATAATAACCCGCTGCAGATCTTGCAATGGGGTATTTCATAACATCTGCGGACTTTGCAGGCGAGCAACGTGTTTTTCCACCCCAGAAAAAAACTCAAATGAAGTAAAATAATGAAAAGAAAAATTTTTTTTTGGATTTTCTCTGCCGTGTTTTTCTTGTCAGTATTAAACAAGGTGTTGCGAATACCAAAAACACCAGGCTGTCCTTCGTTAACCTCACGGTTTTTTATTTTCCTTATTCACTGTTTTTTGATCACGTGCCGATTTT